TTATTGAAAATGTTTTTGTCTGTGGGCAAATGACTATGTTGCCACCTACGCCTAGCTTTTCTTTTTTCTGCTATGAGCCTTTTTATTTCATATGTTGTTGTCTGGCAGGAGTTTTCTGTCGTAACAGGAGTAGGAGTAGCAAACTTTGCAGCATCGTATAGAAGAGTATTAAAGGAATCGATGGTGTTTTCGATATCAGCGGAATTTTTAAGTTTAACTTTGAGGTTAACTTTGTCTTCTACGAACTTCCGGTAGATGTCCCAGTTTGTTTTATGATTGCAGATCCTAGAGGAGGGTTTAAAAATACTTGCCGAAGTGCTTATGCTGGCTATTACTGGACTATGGTCAGATGATAAGTCGTAGCTTGCTCGTACTTCCTTGTGAATTGAGCTTATACCCGATGATACAAAAAAGTCCAATAGATCTGGTTTTTTGGCAGGATCGCTCGGCCAGTAGGTGGGGGAACCTGAAGAAAGAACACTATAATTGAGTTTATGTATTGTATCATATAGCTGTTTTCCTTTGGGATTATTTAATCTTGAGCCCCAATTGACGTGTTTGCTGTTGTAGTCTCCGCCGGCGATGAAATGACTACCTAGTGTAGAGAAAAAATCTTGAAATTGTAAACTGGTTATATTGTGCCTCGGCGGACAATAGACTGCAGAAACACATAAGTTGAATGAATTCATTTTTAATGAAATTGATGTGGCTTGCAAAATTTCAGATTCGTATTTATCCAGTTCGTAATGAAGAAGATTAGATTTTACAATAATGGCAGTCCCACCATGTGCGGTGCCATCGGGATGGTTAGTGAAGTATGTCTTGTAATTTGGTATATAAAAGTTTGAATACTTGGTGAAGTGTGTTTCACTAATTAAAAAGATGTCGATATTGTTGTGTCTCAAAAATAATTCTACTTCGGCTTTGTGTTGATACAAGCCGTTAGCATTCCATAATCCTAAGTTTAAAATATTAGCCATTATTTAGCTTTATTAATGTTGATTAATGTTGATAACATTTTGACAATCATGGTGTTTTGTTCCATTAACTGGCTAAACATATTTCTAAATTCAGTCAGGAAATCAGACATCGATGGAGAATTACTGTTGTTAATGTGATTTTGATTGTTGTTAAATAGGTTTGATTGCGATTTTATTACCTGAGCATAAGACATATGCTGAGGATTTGCGTACTGAGAAATTCTATTGTTGTGAAGGTTGGATTTGTACCGGTTTGCATTTGTGTGTAAATAAGTCCCGTTACTTCTGCCTATTGTTGCTTGATCGTTATCTGCACCGACAAGGTGAAGGTAGTAAGAACACCCTTTGTAGTTTGCGGTATGATTATCGCCGCAATGATAACAAAGGGGCGGGGCTTCAGCTGCTTTTGTACACTTTTTAGACTCATGATCAGAGCCGCATTTTACACATATAAATCTGCGGTTGCAATAACGCTGGGTATGGCCGTACATTTGGCACCTTACACACTGCGGAATATTAGATGATCTTATTGGGGGCTCAAAATGAATTATTTGGTTTAACATTTTATTCATTTTAAAAATTGACGAATTGTTTTCTTTGGGTTCTAAGTCTATGTAAAACATGTTCAGCAATTGTTTAGTTTTCGGATGTATGATATTAGTAATATTTCTGACAGGATGACCTTCTTTTTCAATTGCGGCTTTGATATCATTTTTATCTGTGGCGTAGTGCAGATATTTGAGTACAACCCTGTATGAGCGTTCCGCTTTTATCTGGTAGGTATGAAAAACGACGTCTCTTTCACGCAGAAATTTAACAAAATTGCGGTAGTCTTCTATTTCAAAAATGTTGAATTTAATAGTTTTATTGGGTAGGTATTTAGTGATGTATTTGTTTTTATTAATAATTGAATTAATATCCGCTATCATAAGATTGTAATCTCGAACCCCGTAGACAAATAAAGGCGGAGGAGTAGATTTTTTATTATCTGTTGCCTCGTCTGATGGTTTAGAAACTTTGTTTTCTAGAGCGCTGAATTTGTTGGCTAATTTTATGGGAACGCTTTCATTACTTACTGCGTTGTTCGGGCGACGTCTTTTAGCGGAAGTTACCTCTTGCCATGGGTTTTTATTCGTGTAATCAATCACATCGCGTGCAGTGGACTCTGGATCCATTGTTGCTATTGAAGACAAATTACTTGTTGATGGAATGGGAGTTGGATCCGACAATGTTGATCTGTTTACTGCATCATCGTTATTTCTTTTTGTAGTCATCTGGTTCAGAACTAGTTGAGTAGAATTATTTTGGTCTTCGTGAATGATGTTAAATGATTCCACAATTGGTATTGTGGAGTGATAATTTATAGTACTCCCTGACGGGAGCACTATATTTAATTAAAAAGCACTGAATTCACAAGTAAAGTCACTTACTAGATCAAACACTACACTAAACTGTGACTAAATAAATGCTGTTTATTATGCTTGTTGATTGTACTCAGGTATTGTATAATCGATGTGTTCGCTTCGAGCGCTGAATGAAGAATGACTCGCAAAATTGCTACCAGTATGCAATAGCGAGTGATGTCGTTCGTTACATAATAAACAGGTTTTATTCGATCGACACGTAGTCGTTATCTTATGACCCAAACAATTGTCGCATAAGTTTAATTTTTGAATAAGGGATCGCCGTTCAGGTATACTCAATGATAGAAATTTTGAACAAGTAAACACTCTGTGTTGTTCCCGACACATAAAGCATTTGTTATCATATTTATTTTTTAACAAAAATGACCGGCTAATTTTAGTGTTTTTGTAATTGGGTTTGTCATTAGTGAAATTGTTGGTCATACCATATACTTGATTTTTTGCCTGTTGTGACTTTTGAAGAAAATGCAGGAGGTCTTGGTATTTGGGAAACTCACCTTGATAAAAATGCTCGAATTTTTCTTGTAAAAACGGATCGAGTTTCGAGAATGCCAGTGACGTAATAAGGAAATCATAGGCGTCGGGAATATTCAATTGGGAGAGCGCTTGCACCGCGGTATCGAATTTTTCAAGGAATGAATTTATTTGTCCAGATGAAATGGTTTTGAATGACAATAGTTGTTTGAAATAATTGGTGGCTAAGTACCGTTTATTTTCGTATTTTTTTATGAGCGCTTCCCAAAGAATTTGATAATTATTTGCGGTCGGTAGTATAGAATGAAATATTTTTAAAACCGGACCCTGTAACGCTCCTTTTAAAAAATGAAATTTTGATACATTATCTAACTCTGTATTTTCATGAATTAGTGAATTGAATGTTTCATAAAATAATGGCCATTGTTGAATATCTCCTGAGAATTTAGGTACTTCAATGGACGGTAAATGTTGTTTGGGTACTATGTCTTTAATTGAAGAACTATGCGCATTTTTATTATCTAATAATTTCTCAGCGTGTTTTATTTTGGCATACATCGTTTCAAGGGCCTTTATTGCGGAATATTCCGGAATGAAACTAGGATTATCTAAATATTTTAATTTGTTTATTTCATCGCACAATTGAATAAATTGTTCACGAGCATTTTCAGTAATATATAAATTTTCAAGAAATTGTGTCTTATTTGAAGATACATCAATCTGTTGCGATAGATCGTACGTTTCTTGCACAATTGAAAAGTACATCTCTCTCTTGGCGGTTAAACGTGCGATTTCTGCACCAATATCGATTTTAGGCGCCATTATATATTTTTGTTTTCTGTATACACCCAATTAATCCTAATAATAATTAGGATCCGGCTCGAAGGACCAAATGTTGATGTTGGGGGGTTTCTCAACCCCTTTCGAAGTATTTTATACTTCGAGGAAAAATAAAAAAAATTAAATGTATTCAGAAAACAAAAACCAATGGTAAACAAATATAAATTAAAAATCAAATTCTTCTTACTCCGTAATCAATAATAACCTAAAATATATTCTATATAAATTTTATATAAATGAAAAAAAACAAAAATGAACACTAATTAATATTGTATGAAAATGTTATCTGTTTTGGAAGTCCAAGCCGCGGCAGCTATTTGGTTGGATCTGGAAACATCAGCGTAGTCGGTTGGATAGGTTGAAAAGAAATTCGAATACACTGACAAATAAAAATAACTGTTGACTTGACACACAATAGAAATTTAATCCACTGATAATATTGAACTGATAACAAACACTGAAAGGAACTGAATGTATTGATTGCAAGTAACTGAATGAATGAATTAAACCAAAATGAATGAAAGCCACGGAATAAATCGACTCGAACACTGAAAGGAACTGAAAGTAACTGAACGAATGAAAGGCGCGGAATGAATTGATTTTAATGGAAACTATTGCCTGCATCGGCCTTTTTATGAGTCAGAATTGCCCGATTGCCTAAATTTGAAACGTGTTGTCCAAGTAGAAAAACAAACCTTTTACAGGTCCGACAACCTACACAGGTGCGGCGCAAACAACCTCATATTAAGCAGTGGCATTGGTTTTCTCTGTAAAAGTTTTGAGTTAAAATTATTAAAAAAATTATCAAATAGAATTAGGTCAATAATTCAATTGCCTTCTAAAAAGCCGCGTTATTAAGGAGTCATCATAAGAAGTTTGTAAAGATATTAAAATCTGATTGCTCTTAATAATAACAAAATAATTAACAACATTCAGAGACAGTGATTACTACTAATAAAAGTAGAATTATTTTTTTTATCTTTCATAAATACAATTAAATTTATTTATTTAAACTTTTAAAATACATTTTTGTTTTATATGTATTAACAAATAATTTAATATTTTAGCTGTTCCTGATATTACATTTTCATATTATATAAACTTTTTTGATATATTTTCCAAGTATTTTTTGAGTGATTTTGCACATACAATGATTTGCAAGTTGCTAATATTTCGTACTCAAACAGTTGAATACGGATATATAGAATTCCCAATCGGTAATAATTAAATTAATTTTTAAATTTTTAATTTTAATATTATTATAACTATTATTTGATTTCAGGGTCAACCCAATCGTAGTACTGGTGTATGCGATGGGGATCTTTTTACTATCAGCGGTGGTGCAACGCCGGACTTTCGACTTTGTGGCCAGAACAACGGCCAGCACGGTGGGTTTTTCTAAAAATTACAAATCGTTTTATGTTTTTTTTATTTTCATTCAGAAATTAAAAACATGTAGTAATTATTAAAAACGTCTATCAAACTAAATATCTAAAATATAGCTCATTTAGTTTACTTATTTTACTTTAATTAAATTGAACTAAAAAACTATGAAAAAAGAGTGCGCGTAAGGATCACACGCGATTGAAGTAAAACTTATTTGCTACTGTTTTTTAGCAATATGTGCACACGTTTAACAGTGTTAATCATTATACACATTCATATAATGATAAATTATAAATTATATATTTATAATGGCATTAAAAATAAGTATAATATTTAGAAACAATGATGTAATTAAAGCCATACTTCAAATATGACATGATCGGTTTGTCATTGTAATTAGCATTTAGAAACGAACCTTATTAGAAGCGAACCTTAAATGAAGTAATTGCTGATTAATAAATTCTAGAATATTTTATTTCTATTTTACACAGTGAATTATGTTAAACAACGCCTAAACAAATATTGTTTTTGCAACTTCACTCATCATGTAATTGCGTTTGAAGAACTTCATGTAATTAAAATTAACATACATTTATTGACTGCTTGTATTTTTTTTTACTTTTTCGCTGGCGATATAATCTAATTCTTTGAACAGCTGAAATAAATGTCTTGTCTAAAAAATATTTTCCATTTTAATAACTTCAAAGATTTATAGAAACTACGAATAATATAGAAATAATTTCTAATCAATAAACTTAGGTATAGTACACGGCACAAATGTTTAATTTGTTTTATTATTTTCAAGTAACAGGGTAAAATATTCTTCTTATTCAGGCATTTTTTATTAAACCAAGATTTGTACTACGATGTAACTTTAAAATGTATATTTATCTATGCCGATTTTCTTGTTGATATCGGAACGCATATAACGTTGATGCCGGTACGCATACAACGACAGATCTCTATTCACATACACGACGACTAATCACAATCGACTTGTATAGAAATGATATCATCGAGAGCGAATGATGAATCATTGGCAGTCGACTCCGCCGTAACGCTTGTCCGTTGCATTTGTACGGATCTACACCCTAGTCACGCCTAAAGAAGTTTTACTTCAAATATGTATTGCCAAAGAAAGAAATGATACAGATTGGTATAACAACATGTATTTTGCTATTATGAGTTATCCTATACATAAATAATACTTTCTTAAATTTTGTAGACTCTACAATAAGATGCATAAACATGACATACTAACTTACTTACTTGTACAAATTTTTGCAGTATATTTCGAACTGTTACCGTCGAAGAGTCGCGCCGAGAACGGCGACGTCAGACTTTCGTTTAGTAGCATGGCTCGTAGTTTTCCTCGAATATGGGAAATACGCATGATCCAAGTTGCGCCGGAACAACGAGCTCCCAACGGTTGCCTGCAGCTCTACACTGGAGTAAATGGTATGTGTAGTGAAATCTATAAAGGGCATGGATGCATTGCCACAGGAAAACTGCTCCATTCAAAACCATTTGTAAACTAGTGGGGTGCATGGCATCGTGCCTTAAGGCAAATTGCTGGAACTTCCCGTACCAAAAATTATTATTTTTTTAAAAACGATTAACATTTTTGAAAAAAATTTACTTCGAAAAAAAATAAAATTTTGAGAAACCATAAATTTGACAAAAACTACTTTTTTTTTGAAAAAAAAATTTTTTTTGAAAAATTCTTCATCTTGTCAATACAAGAAAAATGTTTTTTGAATTATTAAAATCGGACGCTCCGTTCTCTTAAAAACTGAGTTACCATTTTTGGCACTTTTTGCCCCGTATTTTCTGAACGGCTAGACCTGCCTACGCCAAAAACTAATCAGCACGTCTCCTTATCAATACGAATCGAATGTTCTTTGAATTATTTAAATCGGTTGATCGGTGTTCCCGAAATCGTCGACGAAAATTTGTATCCGCACATACATATACACACGCACATACACACATACACACACACGCACACGCACACACACACACGCATTCATTTTTTCTAAGGTATGCCAAAATATTCAGAAACCTTTGAAACGTCGAGAAATGCAAAAATTTTCATTTTCGATTTTTTTGAGATTACTACAACTTGCCCTACGGGAAGTTAATAAGTAGACATCTTCATAAAATATCTGATAATTTGATGTGCATATGTCTAATGATCATTTTTGACCGCCAAATAGCATTTTTTTAACTTCCTTAGGGTTATTGTATTCGCCCAAATATCGAAATTGAAAATTTTTACATTTCTCGACGTTTTGAAGGTTTCTGAACATTTTGGCATACCTCAGAAAAAATGGATGTGTGTATGTGTGTGTGTGTGTATGTATGTATGTATGTATGAATACAATTTTTCGTCCACGTTTTCGGGCGCACCGCTCAACCGATTTGAATGGTTAAAAAAACATCCGATTTCTATCGATAGGGAGACGTGCTGATTAGTTTTTGGGAAAGGCAGGTCCAGCAGTTACGGAGATAAAGAGCAAAGAGTGCAGAAAATAGAAAGCGAGTTTTTGAGAGAACGGAGCATCCGATTTGAATGATCTAACAAACATTCAATTGGTAATGATTGGGAGAAGGGGTTATTAGTTTTTAGCAAAGGCAGGTCCAGCCATTTTGAAGATACAAGGCTAAATGTGCAAAAAATGGCAGTTTTTAAGAAAACTAAGCGTCCGATTTGAATGATTCAAAGAACTTTCTGCTTATTTTAACAAAATAATAAATTTTGGAAAAGAAAATTTTTTGTTCCAATTTTTTTTTTCAATTTTTTTTTTCAAATTTTTTTTTCCTAAATTTTTTTTGTATATCGAAAATAATTCAAATTTTATTTTTAATTCTGACCAAGGTTCTAATATACTTTAAACAAATAGTTTCAACTTTGCAATTCAGTTTATATAATTCTTATAAATATTAGACAATATTTCAATATTTATAATAATCTATTTGAAAACATTCAATATTCTTTGAATATTTCGTTATGGTACGGGAAGTTCCAGCAATTTGCCTTAAGGCACGATGCCATACACCCCACTAGTTTAATTTTTTTTTACTAAATCTCCGGAACCACTAGACCTGCCTTCCATAAAAATTTAATCATTTTTTATCTTGTCAATACAAGTAAAATGTTTTTTGAAATATCAAAATCAGACGATTTGTTCTCCTAAAACCTGAGTTACCGTTTTTGACACTCTTTACCTCGTATCTTCGGACCGGTTAGACCTGCCTTGCCAAAAACTAATCAGCACGTTTCCTTATCAATATGAATCGAATGAATTATTCAAATCGGTTGATCGGTGTTCCCGAAATCGTCGACGAAAACCTGTATCCGCACACACACATACAACAATTTTTTCTAAGGTATGCCAAAATGTTCAGAAAACTTTGAAATGTAAAGATATATAAAAATTTGCATTTTCAATTTTTTGCGATTACTATAACTTACCCTACGGGAAGTTAATAAAGTTGGAATGATAAAATTCTTGAAAAAAACATTTTGCAGCATTCAAGCAAAGATTTTAAGCGCAATTGGTGCCCGTCAAACAGGCGTAGTTGGTCATATCGACGCACTTCAAATGGAATGGTCTGTCGCAGTTATCGCACTCGCTGGAGTTTTTTCTTGGCAGCTTTGCCGGCATCAATTTATTGAAAATGATGCCATACACCCTACTAGTTTTTAATTCGTTTATCCAATTTTACAAGACGAACAGTAAAACCGTTTCTTTAGAATTAGCAGAAAACTGCAAAGTCGTTTACATTTTAGCCAAAAATGCGGAACAAATTTCAAACAAATCGTTCGAAAAATATCGATATGTTCGAAATTTATCTGAATAGCTAACTTTAAATTTCTATTCATTCAATTATTTACACAAATCGACAAGCTTATGCAACTTGCCTTAAGCTATAATTACACGTACAACCAGTTTTTTTATTTTATCTACCATACAATGTTCTTAAATTGATACAATTTCTCAAAAATATATTTGGACATTGTCAAATATACAATGAGTATTGTACGAAATCTGCATCAAAATATTAATGAAACTTAGATAATGAACTAAGGTGAATTTCTCAAATTTTTCAACTTTACAAATTCACCCACAGATGTCATCGTGGGTGCTATCGTCAAACTCTCCCTGCGCAATATAGTCTAAATTAATAACTATATGAGTAAAGAAAGTAATGCAATTAACTTCCGGGCATAGCCCGTCCGACAACTATTACTATCTATATATTACCTATCTCTGCGAACTTGGCCATTCGTATCCATGATCTTGATCATCGTTATTTCTATATACCCAAAAAGGTGAATCAAGCAAAGCACTTGTTCACTTTTTATCTCAACGTGAATTATAATATTATAAAGAAAGAATAATGTTTGCATTATATAGTTTACAAATGTGCTTTAAAAAATTTATTACTTGTATTAAACTTTTTTTAATTTGTTCGTCCGTTTTTCGAGACCACCGAACTATTAGAATCGAGAAAATTGCAAAATTTTTTGTCTACGTTTTTTTAAAACATCCTGAACCGATTATAAAAAATTGATCGTGTGTGAAAAATAACTGGTTAGTTTTT